GCCTGCCCGCCGGGCCCCCCGAGCGTCCTGCACGCCGCCGCCTCCCTCTTGGCAAGGGCCGGCCTTGCGGCAGCAAGCGCCCACCTCTTCTCTGCCAGGCTGCGCGCACTCCTGCATCACAGTCCCGTCCCCGGAGGAGAGGTGGCTGGCCGGCCTGTCGCCACCGCCACCCGCTGCCCTCCACGGGGGCTTTGGATCCTCCCGCTTTGAAATCCAATTCGGGGACCTCCTGCGCCTCATTGTCAAGTTACTTCGGGGGTGGGGGGCCTTCAACAAAAGCGGAGAGCTGGGCTCCCCCAGGGGCTCTCTTGCCTTGCTTCCCGCCTCGCCTCCTCACCAAGGGGTTTTGTGTCTGCTCCTTAGCGCCAAAGGGGGCGAGCTCCCGGGAGAGGGTCCGCCCGCCCGGCCGGCCTGGTCTGCCATGTTTTCTTCCCTCACGAGCCTCTCCCGCGCCCGTGGCTGGCTGGCTGAAAGCTCCTCTCTGCTGGCAGGGAAGAAAAATCCCACGCGAGAGGAGAGCAGGGAAGCCTGCGGGGAAAGGGGGGAAGCCGGGGAGACACAAACGGGTTTCAAGCGAGCAAGTGAAACGCTCGACAGGGTAAAGGAGAGGAAAGGAAAGCCCGGCCTGAAAGGCTCCTGCCGGATAATGAGGGGACTCGGCGGCTTCCTAGGTAGGGGACAAAATAAAACGGCTTAGAAATGCCCCCACACCCAGTAACCACCCAGCCAAAGCAACACAAAAACTGCAGAGGGAAGAGAGCATGGAGGAAAGATCCAAGGAAGGCCAGAAGAAAGATGGGCTGAAGGGAAGGCACCACCAGGAGAGGGGGACTCAATGGGTCTTGGCTTTATCGCACCCTTCGTTTTATTCTTCAAGAGGCATCCTTGACTCGGTCAAGCAGTGGGTTTGGTCCAAAGGATGGATCAAGAGTTTAGAAGGAGGGGAAGAGGGCTTTAAAGAGATGGCCTGGGGCCTCTGGAGTACGCTTTGGCTTGAGGTTAAGGTAGGAAGCCAGACGAAGTGTGAGTGGAGAAATCCTAGGCAGGCGCCTCCATGCTTTCTAGGGTTGGCCTAGAAAGGCATTAGGCATTCAGGAGGCCACCTCAGGCGGCTGCTTTTTGCGTGTCACGAACGGTTACCTGACTTATTGTGCTAATAGTTGTGTCTTCACTGCTTAGAAGTGGGAAGAGATGCTTCTCTGTGTGTGTGGGGGGGTGTTTTTGCCTCATATATCATAATAAAATCATGCGCCTGGCTTTGGATGTGCTACCTTAACTGGGGTGGGGTGAGGAGTGACTCTTTGTAAATTTGCCTCCGACAGCAAAATGGTCTTGGGAGCATCCTGCTCTTTCTCTGAGGTGAGAGACTCATCTTTGGCCCTGAAGTCCCTAGGCTGTTTTTGCAACAGAAAGTCTTGTGGCATCTTGAAGACCAGTGAGTTTTATTTGACTTGTTCGTGGACTGTAGCCCAAGTGGCCAAATATAATTTGTTAGCCTTTAAAAGAGTCATAGGACTTCTCAGTCTGTTGCTGCAACAGACCAACACCTCTCTTCCTCCTCCTGTCCAGGACCATTTCTTCTGACAAACTTGCCTAAGAGCTACCCCACTGTAGACTTTCCTTTCTAGGATCAAGGGCAGCTTCTGAAGAGGGGTAAGGGGTGCCCCCCTCCCTGAAATTTTGAGGTGGGGTGCCCATAGGTTGCCCCTGCCTTACAATTGCTTGACTTAAACCCCCTCCTCTAAGTCAATTATAAGCAGACTCATCACCCCAATGGCATTGAGTCCCTCCAGCGGATACACTTCTGCTCCACACCCACCCCTGCCTAGATGATTCAAGGGAAATCTGCAGGGAAATCAGAAACATGTGATTTAAGTAATGGAGGGGAAGAGAGAGGAGGGAGGGTGATGACTCTGTAGTAAATAAGCTTGTTCCTGAATTCCTGGCACTTGTGTGTTGCTGCAGAGGGCTGGCTGCTGTCGTGCAGACTGCAGTAGCCCTGGGCTGCTGACAGGCAGGCTGTGTGTGTGTTTTTTTAATGAAAATGCCCAGCTTTTCACAGAGACCAGACAAAGGTAAATGGGGGACTGTCAGGTACGTGGCACCCGTTATGGAGTTGCAGGTCGTCCCTGCTCAACTGTGAGCCCCGGAAGACCCACTTAGGGAGAACATAGCAGCTGCTGAACAATCTGTAGCACCTCAGCTTTGCAGCCTGGCCCCAGCACCACCTGCTTGTGTGTTAGCCGGCCTGCTGGCCACTGCTGCTTGCCTTCCCCCTGGCAGTCCAGCATCACTTCGATTCATATGATAAGTAAGGGGAGCTGGGACCTTTGGAGGTGGGGGCAATATGTGTAAGATGGTATCTCATGGGCTGAAAATGTGACTGTGTTGTTCCACCTGGTGAATGTTGGGGCTCTTGTTCAGCAAGGGTGTCTCAAGACATTTTGCTGCCCGAAACAAAAGACAAGACGGCACTTGCATGCATGAGCGTACGCAGACTCACACACACAAAGGCATGGGCATGCCACAAGCACCATGCAAAAACATATAATTTCCCTGTACAGAAACCAGTTAGATTGGCAGGGAAGCATCTTTCACTGTGAACCGGAGGATAGCAGACTAC